TCCCATAATATTATGCTGTCTGTATAAAATGTCTCATTCTTGTCTTGTTCTTCACTGTTTATGATACACGAGGTCCAGTTGCACTCCTGACTAAGAGTGTGGCTGGACAGTCTGTAAAACGTTATTTGACTTCATGTTTACAGCGTTTGATTCCTCAAAAGAATCACTACTTTTGTACTTGTGACTCTATCGGTATCTCTTGTTGTTGTTGTTACCCAGCTCCCAGGTATTGGCTCACAGACTTCACTGTCTCTACAAGAATGTTTGAGGCTGTTGGAGGCCACTTTCCCTTTTGGAGAAGAATCTGAGGTTTGTTGTCTCACAAGTATTGTAAAGCCAGATATTAATGTATTGCTTCATGTGAAAGGAAAAACTACAGTTGTTATACTGTTTTTTTATTTATATGTATGACATTTTCAATTAGTTTCCAGCCCCGGTTGTCACCCCGGAAATAGTTTCCAATGAAGCTCCTTCCACATCTCAGGGCCTTCCTCTGGCACCACAGCTGCCCCCAGCAGAGCCACAGTTAGACCTGGAACAGCAGTGGCAAGATATAATGGCCATCATGGAACTACAAGTATGTTCCCTTTTTAAAATGAATCACTTTTTGACTCCTGAGATGTATCTGTTTGTTGTGAAAGCATTAAATTATTCATTGTCTGGGAACTGACAGAGGTAGGTGCAAAAGAAAAGCTTCTTGTGTGTATAATTTGGGGACAACGGCATTTGGAAGTATGAAAAAAATGACTATTGTCTCAACATGGGAAATGATTTAACCATAAAAAGTAGAGAAAAATACATTATTGTGCATGTGCATACGTTATTTAGCACCATAAATGTGCTTCATAATCCCCTAACAAAATCTTTTTGTTCAAAGGCAATGGAAGTGAACAACACTTCGATACACTCCGACTCCAGCAGTGTCAGTTCCACAAGTGGGACAACTGAGTCAAGCACCGCAGGAAACTTTGAACTTTCTACTGGCTCAACACCAGTGAACCAGGATGTCAGCCTTCACCAGGCCTCCCTCCCCAGCTGCAGCCAAGACTTCCCTCAGATGTTCAGTCCCCAGATGGACTCTATTAGCATCACCCCAAGAACCCCCATGCCCAGACTCTCGTCCAGCAACTCCAGCAACATCAACTCCACGTTTGGAGCCACTAACCTGACCGGGATCTTTCTCCCACCACAGATCAACAGTTCTAGTAACAACATAACATCCACGCCTATCCTGCCCGATCCATTCAGCACCCTGCTGGAGGAGTCCATGCTCGATGAGATCAGCTTGCTGGACCTTGCAATGGAGGAAGGCTTCAGCCAGGCCCAAGCTTCCCAGTTGGAGGATGAGCTTGACTCAGATTCTGGTCTTTCCCTGGACTCCAGCCACAGCCCGGCATCCCCCAGCAGCTCTGAGACGTCCTGCTCCTCCGCAGCGTCTTCCTCATCAACGTCTGCCACCTTCTCAGAGGAGGGAGCTGTGGGGTACAGCACCGACTCTGAGGTCGCCACTGTAGAGACAGAGGAGGGTGCTGTTGGGGGGTATCAGCCTGGGTATAGTAAGCTCTGCCGTATGAGCTATCAGGACCCCTCCCAGTTCCACGGCCTCCCTCAGCTCGACGGCATCAGCCACAATCATACTTATAACCTGCCACTTTCATCGCCGTTTTCTGAGCACCCAGAGCTCCCTATTTCAACTGGGAAGAAGACTGTCCGCGACAAACAGCACTCGAAGCTTCAGCCTCATCAGGACTTGCTCGACAAGCACGCAAGCCGCGATGAACGCCGAGCCAGAGCCATGAAAATCCCCTTCTCCAATGAAAAGATCATCAATCTGCCTGTGGAAGAGTTCAACGAGCTCCTAGCCAAGCACCACCTGAGTGAAGCCCAGCTAGCCCTCATCCGCGACATCCGCAGGCGCGGCAAGAACAAGATGGCGGCCCAGAACTGCCGCAAGCGCAAGCTGGACACCATCATCAACCTGGAGCAGGGGGTCCAAGACCTGCGGCGCGACAAGGCCCGTTTGCTGAAGGAGAAGATGGAGTTCATTCGTTCCATCCGGCAGATGAAGCAGAAGATGCAAAGCCTTTACCAAGAGGTGTTCACTCAGCTACGGGATGAGGAGGGCCGGCCCTATCCTCCCAGCGAGTACTCGCTCCAGTACAGCGCCGATGGCAGCGTGCTGATCATGCCCCGCGGCGTGACAACCGCTGAGCAGAACCGTAAGCCCGAGAAAAAACAAAAAGACAAAAAGAAGTGAGGGGGGCAAACTGCTGTTTATTCTATAACTTTGCTAAATCAATAAGAAAGATTTCTGCAGATGCAAGAGAGATGTCCTTTTTTCCTTTAAGAAGATTCTGGTGAGTAGAAAAATGGCATTGTTGACTACTCTTCCTGCATTAGTTTCTCTCTTTTCATTCTGTTCCTACGTTATTTTCCTGGAGACGACTTTGAAGCAGAAGTAGCTCTTCGTTTGAGTACTGATATTTCATTATTTAGATGGGGGAAAACAATAAGCAAAGAGAAGAGGGATATAAAAAGGACATAAAATGAGCTATTAGAGAAAATTTTAGCTGCTCTTGATCCTTTTTGCACCAAACCACTGAGGACGGAGAAGATTTGTAGGGTAAAACAAGGGACTGGTATCGAGAAAGGTGGGAGTAAAGGAACACTGTCGACAAAGAATGGTTGGAATACCTATGCACGGAAGGTTTTAAAGGACTATCAGATCACACCCCCCACCCTGGAGACTTTTAGTGATTTTCATAGTCACTGAGGCTTTTAAGTTGCAAATCTTCAGGCAGCGTCTACGGTTTGCGAGAGTTTAGATACCAAAGGTTAAAGGAAGTCCATCATTTTAGGATGCCATTAACGCCAATACTAACCAAAGGTTGTAATGGTGCACATCTTCTTGATCTGAATACATCTTAAATGCTCGAACACTGCACTCTAATTCTGTAAGTGTGCGTGTGAATCGCAAAATTCCAGTTTTTTGAGTCAGTTTGTGTCGGTTGCATCTAAGTTCAGAAGGCCCTTAAGAGATTGGGTTTGATGTGTGAGAAGGAGGATGTTGAAACACGAAAGGAGTCGGAGGCTTGAGGGGTTCCCCGGGCTGGCCACTGCTAAAAGAGGCCTGGAGGTGAAAGTCCTGTAAGAGGGGCAGATGGATTTTTATTTTTGTTTTTGTTTTGGGAGGAGGCACACTGCATTGCTAAATGTATCAACTTCCTTATAAATTATACATAGCACTGTAATTTGTCTTTAAAAAAAGGCTTGGCTATATGCATTTTGCCGTGTCTGTCGCTATTCCTTCGCTGCAGGTTTAAATACGGGAGCTGCGTTTAGGAAAGGCTCTTATTAACTGTTCATAATCTGTAGTATAAGCAAGGTTATAGGTCTAGCCACATCAGCTTTATGTAAAAGTCTACACCCTCTTTGTTTTATTTTTAAAAACTTCACACGGAGCCTGTAATCATAAGAGGGATTGAAGAGTCTGTGATGGGCCAGGAGCTTCAGAGAGTACTGTATTATTACCACCAACTCCAGGCTGTCACAGATCAAAGTTATGGATTATTTGTTGCTTTTTCAACTTAAAACCGGCTCAGTTGTCGCTGTGGTGTAGCGATATCCCTTTTTAAGTAACTTATTTGCCAATGTTACCCAATTGAAAGCCACTGGAGGCCATTTTTTAACTGCTGTAAAGCCGAGGTGTTGGCTTAAATATTATGAGTTCTATGTTATTAAGTTTTTGTGTTGATAACAAAGTGAGCCAAGTTGTTCAATGAGATTAAAGTTATTTGAATGCGTGATACGACGGTGTGTGCTGTGGCCACTTTGATTTGAATGCCTTTTTATTTCACAATCTCATTACCTTTTCACTTTAAATGTTTTGAGAACTGGAGAGAAAAAAACCCCGTTCTCAAAGTAGAAGTGCTATTACTTGTCTATCTGAATGAGGTTCGTCAGTACATGTACACATCACCCTCTCTTTTTAAAAATGGAGAAAAAAATAATATAAAAATAGGTCCGTTGTTGCAGCTGAGATAGCGGTTAGGCTAGAACATTTTACAAGAGGCTGAGCAGAACTCGCAAACATTAAAGATGATGTCCAAAAAAATAGTTTTTGAAAGGAGAAATGTCCTCGTTAAATGTGATATTCTGGCATGAAACTCTGGTTAACATTCACTTCAGTGTAACCCAGTGCGACACCAACTATTTAGTACTGCTACTACTTAGTGCACTTTCTTTATTTTATTTTTATTTTTTTTTTCGTCTGTCTTGTTATGTAAATATTTTCATGTTTGTGTTCGTCATGATTTTATGTAGTTTGTCAAATGTCTCCATAACAGTCTCACCCTCTGCTTTTGAGTTTGGATGTAGTTCCCTCTGTTTTGAGATATTTGCTGGCAATCAAGAATTGTTTTTATTGATTAATAAAGTGTTTTTATTTTCACCCGTGACTCTTGTGTTCTAGTTGTCGTGAATGCCATGTGGTGCCGTACCAGCGGGGTGCTCGGCCCAGGAAGCAGGATTTCGTGAGTTATAGTTAACAGTAGGTAACTTTAGGGTCAGTTTGTTGGAGTTATCCTCATAACTCAGAAAATCTGCTTCTTGGAAAGAGCCCCGGGACCATGAACAACCTAAAGCTACCTATCAGAGCTGCAACCATTAGTCAATTAGTCGATCAACAAAAATGTAATTGCCAAGCATTTTGATAATTAATCAGAAATCAAACATTTGATGGTTCAAATGTGAGATTTTGCTGCTTTTCCTAATCTTAAGAGTAATTAATTAATATTATATATTTCTAGGGTTTTGACCGTTGATGGAACAAGACATTTAATGACATTACCTTGGACTCCTGGTTGCTGTGATGAGCATTTTTCATTATTTTGTTGTTTTACAGACCCAGTGGTTTATCGATTAAATGGCCAAAAGTGATCTGAAAATAGTCGCTATAATCCCGTCTATATTAAAAGTGACAACAGCATAAAACAGCACAGTAACAAAAAGTGGTTTATTCTCCAAAACCGACAAGCAAGACATGTTAATGAAAAACACTACAAAGATTACCAATGACCAAATGAATCACTGAAAAGAGTTCATAACCATACACCAATCAAGTCCTAAGGAAACAGCTAAGATGAACACAGTTTTGCTCTGAAAAGCACCAATGAATCAAGTTTTTAAAAAAAAGTAAAAGAAAATAAAAATAAGTCACACTAATAAAAATAAAAACATCACCTCACTAATACGATGTCATAGCAAGATGACCGAGCACTGGACCAAATGTTATGTGGAAATGATGCTGAAGTAGCCGAACTGGAGTCGATACTGAAACTTAACACTGCGTTGTACATTTCTGTTGGATTCAGCTGGGGTTTTTTTTTTGTCAAGCAAACCTGAAGCATATATACAGTTACATTATATCCAGATAAAAGTAGAATCAAATGAGTGATACTACACCAAAAGACGAGTAAGTTCAATGGCGTCTTGCTTGTCTCTGCCCCCCTTCCCGCGCCCCCCCCACCCCACCCCACACCTCCAAATCCCTTGTTGAAAGTACAATGAAGTTCAAAACTACAGTTTCTTTCTGTTCCCCCACGCCCCTTCGCCCTGTGTTAGTTTTTCTCGTCTTTTTTTTCGTCTTCGGTGGGATATGAGTGCCAAGTAAGTCTCTCCTCGTAGAAAGAGATGACCACCTGCGGACACTTCACGTTGGCCTCCTTCGCGGGCACCAAGTCGGCCTCGTCAGAGTTTTTCCTGTACGAACAGAAAACACAAATTCAGCCGACCGGCATCTGGCACGAGCAGACAAATGTTTAATGACACGATTTCATTCCCCGACAACCGAGTCAGTTATTCAGTCACTGATGTTCCTGTTTTAACAGCTGCCCAGCAGTTACTGTGCATACAAACCATTTCATGAGGAACATGAGTTCTCCTGTGGAGTCAGTGGCACCAATAATCCTTTCTGGATCCAGCCCCCGAGCAAAGCCCCTTAGCTTCTCTGTCTGAGGATCAAACGACAAAATACAACTTCAATCACGTCCAAAACCACATTTCTGCATAAACACTAACTGCCTACGATAAGTCAGGATTCTTATTTGCATTTAATGGTCCAGTGTGTAACTTTTAGGAGGCAGAAAAGGATAGTGACGTTTTCATGAGTGTATAATCAGCTGAATGTTTTTATTGCTTTTAGAATGAGTTGTTTATATCTACAGACACACGGGTCAGCTTCTATGGAGGCCACCATGTTCAACCGCCATGTTTCTACAGTAGCACAGGACGCACAAACCAAACACTGGCTCTAGATCGGGGTGCTCCGTGTATTTTGGCAACGTTTCAAGGCCACCGTAGTTTGTCCTTCATGCTCAGAAGGTGTTGGGGAATCTGCAAACTACACCGCTAGATGCCACTAAATCCTAAACACACTGGACCTTTAAATTAAACCGAGACAAACAGAATACCACAAAAACATTTTGGGGAAACTGCTGTGAAAGCACGAAATGTGTGTTTGAAGATATGTAAGTGTGTAGCTTTAGGAATCTGATCCAAAACCTCATCAGCAAAACAAACAATCCTGCCTCTTTGTATTTGCTGCAGCTGAACCCAAATGTCCTCCAATGTTTGTCTGTTACCTACGAATAGTGAAAAATGCTCGTTATAATTTCCCATGGTGATGTCTTCCAATGTCCAAAACCAAAAGATGATCACTTTACTATCATGTATGACAAAGAAAAGCATCAAATCCTCACATTTGAGAAGCTGGTAGCAGCAGATGTTTGGCAAGGACTAAAATTATGAATCAATTATCAAAATAATTGCAGATTCATGTAATTAAGAATTTGTAGCATCACATATGTACTGCAATGAACTGTGGGTAATTCCTGTGAAGTTTGCATCCCAAGTGGACTCTGGAAGTCTACAGAAAGTCCACAAGCCCCTTTGTGGACTTCGTGAACTGGATTGGGGCAGCCTGAGGCACTCGCAGACTTTTCCGGGAACGAGTCTGCGAGTGCGCTGAAGTCTGGACATTTGGGTTTCAGCTTGACAGTTGTTATTGTATTGTGGGTGTGTGACCGCACACAGGGCACCCCAAAAGGTAGGGGGGGGGAGCCAGTAGTTAGTGGAATGATCCCAGAGTAAGGCCCTGTTCAAGTGGACTCCTCATTCATCATTCAGAAACCGTGCTGGTGGAGCCGCTGTGATCAGACTGTGATGTGGTTTTAAATGACAGCTTGATGCTTGATGAGGTTTAATGCCTAAACTACAATAAACACCTGCAGCTCTTCATCTAACCAGCATACAGGGGGGCTGGTTTTGGGTTCACCAACCTTTTCTTGGCAATATTTTAAAAAGAACGGCTCTGCCCGCAAAAACAATGTCAATCTCATGCTGCGTAGAAGAGTTTCATCTCATCTGCCTTTTTCTTTTGTTCTTCCACAATGAAAACACAAACACCAGAGCAAAGAAAAAAAATAAACAAAACTTAACAGAGCCAGTTGCAACTTTTTATTAGACACATTATTACACATCACACATATTACACATAGTATTACTGATTTAATCTGATTGGATTCGACTACTTTGTGTCCTCATGCAGGTGAACACATACATGCACGTTGGTGGTCCGCTGTAGTTTTTGTGGTGCGTTCAATTGCAAATTTGAACAGAAGGAAAGACACGGAAAAAAGAAGTCTGTCTTCGTCTATACTAGTTCCTTGAGGTTTGGCTTGGTGGGTCAGAACTATTAGTACAACAGGGCATCTGGTAGTTACACATACTGAGCCCAGCAGTCAGTTTAAATGCTGTTATAAAACAGAAGTTATACAACTCATTTTTTAGTATGCTAAGATGAAAGTTGATTGTTTTCTACCAGTAGATTATTATTACTATGATATTAATGTATTTGCTGGTGCTGCCGTCCGCACAGACGAACCCACTTCGACCCTAAACTGTTATGAAAAGATGACCATTAAACGGGCAACAACAAAGAATTTGGGACTTACATCGTCTTTTTTCTTCTTCGTTTTACTTTCATCTCCTTCTGCCTCTCCGGCCGCCTTCCTCTTTCCATCGTGTGCTGATTTCTGGGACTGCAGAAACTCCGCAATCAAATCCGGACAGTCCAGGTTGTCTTCTGGCTCCCACGTGTTATCTTCCCTGCAAACACAAGAGCATAAAAAATACAGTATTTATGTATTTAATTAATAATGTAGTCACCTGTTAAATGCTGTGTATTGTTCTTTTCTTGGTTGTAATTTGAATGTATTGTCTGATTTGGAGGATAATGACAAGAAAAGATGTTTTAAAGACCCCTATAAATAAGCTAATGACAACAAAACACTCACTCAGAGAAGCCTTTCCACTTGAGAAGATACTCTACTCTCCCTTTGACCACCCGCCGATTCAGGACCTTTTCCACCACGTATTCCTCCTCCTCCTCCTCTTCCTCCGGCACGTCATCTGGCTTCTTCTCTTTCTTCTCAGGTGAAGTCATTTTGCTCTCCGCTAAAAACAGGAGCATTGAACAGACAAGTTACCGATCCTGAAGACGCCCACCCTTTCTTTATTGCCTACAGGTGTTTTAAGATGTTCACATTTGTTTGGGACACTGTTCTGCTGAGTTTTAAGTGGGTTACAAACATTTACAGACATTATTCATTCCTTGACTCTTGACTCACACCTTACCGCAGGACAAGGACAAGAGATACAGAGAAATGTATGTTAGAAAATAATGATATATTAAACCTTCTGTAACAGTGGGACCATCGTTAGGGGGTTCTGTAGTCAGGCTCATACTCATCAGGTAGACCTGGGGACCAGCAGGTTCCTGGTCAACATCAAGCGAGCCGGGATCAATGTGGTAGAGAGGAGAAAACAGCAGTGGAGAATGGGATTTAATGAAAAGATACATGGGTAACAGTGTGAAGCGATGTAGATTAGCAGTAATCGATGTGTTTCACGTTTAAAAAAACAAAACCCAGTACATATATATATATATATGTTTGTCTGCCTAATCTGCATTGCCTAAAGTTACCCATGTATGTGTAAACTCATCTGATCCCTTACAGAGGGGTTGGTGTTACAAGTGTGTTTTAGTTGGCGTGCATAAATGTACCCCTGATCCCCTTCAACGAGATAATTACAGAGGAGTAGCCACCTCAATACTTATCACTTTACTCATTGATAACACAGCGGTGGCGTACATGGACGTGCCAGTAGATCATTGGCTCTGGACCCTCACTCTAGTGCCTATATCTCAGCTTTTAACATAAGATAAGATCTGACTCTATTGATACCACACTGGGTGTATTCAGCTCAAGATACAACACAACAGATAAGAAAATACACATTAAATTAAAACAGGAGAGAAAAGATATAATAGAAAAATGCAAGAATAGAATAAGAGTTATATGAACACTTGCCAGACACAAGAAAACATTTAATTTATCAAAAAAAAAGAGCCTATTAAGTATGTATGATTATTATAAATTATAAAATACATAATACAGACAGATGTGTATAAAAAGTAATCTGCTCAAAATGCATTAAAATCTCTGGTTTTACACAAACTTACTGCAGCTACTGAGATCAATATTTGGATCAATCAATTGGGGGACCACCGTGGTTACCTGCCAGCATCCACTAACTACAGTGCAACACCTGGCGGCTGCAGCACGCCACATTAACACAAAACAAACACCCTGTTGAAACACTAGCATTGATGTGGCGTTCAAATACCCCCGTAAACCTTAAATCCAGATGTTTTTTTGGTTGTTTTGTTTTTTTTTGTGGTCGCTAACGTTAGCAAGAGAAAGGGGGAGAAAACACGTCGCGACAAAGCCCCCACACACCCCCCCAATAAAAAGGTGCCCTCAGTTTGCAGCTAACGCTAGCCGCTGTCTCCATATTGCCTCTCGCGTTTGGCAGCGAGCGACCAGAATGTGTGCGGTCGATTATAAATGTGCACACGGAGACAATGTGTCTCCTAACTGTGCACATTTATCGAGCTGAGCTGAGCTAAGACGTTACAAGACCCGTGCACGAACAATTTAAAAAGCGTTTACCCCGACACAACCCGTTTGGAGGGAGGGAGAGAGAGAAGACAGGAAAAAATGTGGAGGAAAAAAATAAATAAAAAAAACTCACCGGTGATTTACAATTTATTATAATTTTTTTTTTTTTTTTTTTTAAAGTTCCACCCGGGTCGAAATGAAACAACAGCCTCTGCCTCACTAATTCACAGTGATAAATGTTTTTTCTTGTTGTCCAAATACAGAAAACCGCTAGCCCGACTACAGTGCAATGTGCCCGTTTCCGCCCCTTCGTCTGGTATGTGAGGAGGAGACAGAGAAAAAAAAAAAAAAAAGTGGTTCGTTTTTTCACAGATCTGTAAAGCATATGGATTTACTCATCTCCATAAGCGGGGACGGTCGCGCTGCGTGGCGTATGACGTGTAGATCTGCGCATGCGGAGTGCACGCAAAACGTGGACTGGATCGATGGAGCGGCCCCCCTCATAAGCATTATAAACACTATTTTTGTTAATATTATTGGGGAATTATATTGTTACACATATTATTATATTAAAATACTTTTAATTAATCTTTAAGGTAACCCTTAAAATGCATTAAACACCGTTATATACATCAAGGTGGGAGCCTGAGAATTTGTCCATTTGTTTGAATAGGAGAAAAGTGAAACACCTTAATTTCAAAAACTTCATATTACCTCCACACTTAATTTAAGATTGGGGAGACTCACTGGCTACAGCAGCTCCAGATACAACACAGCAGATAGGAAAAACACACATTAAATAAAAAAGTAAAATACAAGATATTATATGAAAATAGATAAAATAGAATAAGAGTTGTATGTACACTATATACAGCTTTTTATTCCCCAGCCAACTAATTATTCTTTTGGGGAGTAACTGTAATATTATTAATGACATTTATTAGTAATTACACTACTAGTTACTGGGGAAAGTAATACTATTACCTGTAAGGAGTTACTGCCCAACACTGTTCACAAATCATTTTAATATCAATTTAAGGTGGTGTTAAGGTTGGGATTATGTCAGGTGTGAGAGATTCCTATCCAGTATTTAGGTATTTAACATGTTTACCCCAGACGTGGGGTAAATAAATGGATTGTTGGGTTTTCTGGACAGATTATTGAGTTTTATAAAGTCTAAAAGCACCTTAGAATTGACTAAATAACATTTTAATTTGAACCTTAAACAAGGTTTACCCTCCCCGGTTTAAGGTGTTTATAGGCATTAACTGAATTATAATACACATTGATATGTAAACTGTGCAATGAATCTACATGGCTATGTTATGTAAGTATGTAAGTATATATAAGTTGGTGTGTACAGTATGGAAAGTGAGGTATCATAACACGAGAGCATTATTACCTAACAGCAGATGTTATTTAATGATTATAATAATACAATAATTAACTCCCTGGAGACACATTTCTATCTTGGTATCTGATATATTTTTTTTTTTGACTAAATAACTCATAACTTTGACTTACCATTAATAGCCTTTTTTATAAATATATAAATCACCTTGTGTAACTTGTCAGCAGCTTTCAGTCACCTGAGCAAACACCGTCTGCTGACGTGTGCCGGAAAACAATAATTATATAAATAAATTTAAATTTTATTTTTTATGGTACGAATTTACTTTAAATATATATGAAATACGACAGAAAATAATAATAAATACTAAGCTAATAAAAATAAATAAATAAATAAAAAAGTAAATAACGCCCCCCCCTCCCCCTTACGCATGCGCGCGCACAACCGGAACCCTACGTAGCGTGACGTCGCAGCGGCGCTTGTGACTTGCGAAATGGAGATAGGAGGTGTCCGGACAAACGAGCCTCTGTTTTTGGGGATTTTGGGCTCAAATAAAAAAAGAAACCTCGACAGTCAGGACAACGTCGACCTCAGCCGACTGGGAACCATCACAGCAGCCAACATATGTGTGAGGAAAGTGAGTATTTGTCGACTGGGATCAGCCTCTGTTTGCTAACTGCTGTGTTTCCTGTGAGGCATGTTGTTTTCAGAAGTCCAGTTTTCTCTCAGGCCAGACAACAAAACAAACCCTTAAAGAAAAGTGTTTAACTGTGTTTATTATATATATATTGTATATTATTATTGTTTTATTTGAGTGTAACTTTTAGTTTCTTTACAGGCTGTGGAGGTCATTTACCTCATAAGGAAGCAGTTACATGTTTCTGATGGTTATTCTTTAAATACAGATCAATTCTCGACTTATTGTTGATATTAATAATAAGTAATCAGATTTATAAATGTGTAGATGAATTAAGATAGTTACACAAGTCTCCACTCACGTTTGTAAATAGTTTTTGCTACAATAATGGCTCATAATATAGCCACTAAATCCAATTTTTAATGGAGAAATAACAATTAGTATTAGTAACAGTGGAAGAAACAGATGGAAGTCCATTAAGTCACTGATGATCTAACATTGTCTGGTTCCTGTCTGTCATAGATGGATCAATTAAATCAATTAATAGCTATTCTGACAATTAATTATTAATTTAAGTTGTTGATCATGGAGGGGAAAATAAAGCCAAATATGCTCTGGGTTTATGTTCTTCAGTGTGAGGATGTGCAGCTTTTCTCTTTTTATTTATTTTGTAAAAAGCCATTAACAGCAGTGGCAGCCCTAATTGACATATACCAGCCATTACTGGTGTATGATGGGTCTTCGGAAAGCTCTTAAGAGTCTGAATACTTCTATAAATGGTGAAGAGAAATGCCTGCGAGAGTGACTGTTGATTTTTGCTGACCAGCTTCTCTTTTGCAGGGTGAGTCATCAGCCCGTGACAACACTATAGACTAAGACATGCACAGTTTGAGCCTTTAATCACATTTATTGAATCCTGTCCTCATTGATTTCTCCTTGTCTTTGCAGTGCAGCACTCGGTAGGATGATCAGCAATCAAGAAGAAGATGTGAGTAGCCTCCTACCTCCCTTTTTTTTTTTTTGTTACATTAATCGCAATATTAAAGGTCCAGTGTGTAACATTTAGGAGGATTTACCAGCAGACATGGAATATAATATTCATAGGTATGTCTTAGTTTGTTTATAATCACATACAGATAAGAAACGTTGTGTTTTCGTTACTTTAAAATGAGCTGTTTGTATCTACAGAGGGTGTTGAACCACCATGTTTCTGCAGTAGCCCAGAACAGACCTAGATAGGACCTTTCACCCTCTTCATGCTACTGTTTGTGAAACCTAAGAATAAATGTTCCCTCCCTCCTTTTTTATAATGACTTCCACTGAACAAATGCCAAAGAACAATATGTCCATTGATGTGTCTCAGGAAAGGCATTTTCAGGAACTTTTTATCTCTTTGAACTAGTCATGCCTACCCAGTAATCAGGCAGAGATCTCAAGTTTCTGTTGGTTTAACCGTGATACAGCAAAACACACACACACACAAACACAACACACACACACACACACACACTCACTCACAGACTCACTCACAAGCACCACAGCAGTTTTTTTTTTTAATTGAAACTGAAAGAGAGACTTGTTGTTTCTGTCCTTCAGGATTTTGTTGCAGTGCGGGTACAAGATCCCCGCATCCAGAACGAAGGCTCGTGGAATTCATACGTGGATTATAAAATATTCCTACATGTGAGTACTAACACTTTAAATTACAATATATCTGGTGTGAGTGATTTGTTTTCAGAGCTGAAAAGAGGAGTCAATTGACTATTAATCAATGGCAACTGCTTTGATAATTGATCAAAAAGCAAATTTTCAAGCAGAAATGTCAAAACATTCTCCAGTGTGAAGATTTGCTGCTTTCTTTGTTATATTATTGCACATTGAATGTTTATAAGTTGGCCAAACAGAAGAAAAGACATTTGAAGGCAACACTTTGGCCTTTGGAGGAGACATTTTTAACTATTTTCTGGAACATGTTGTGGAAAATAATGAACTACTGGCACAGCAGATGTTTTGACATATCAGGAAACTCACAGGATATTAATGATGGCTGCATTTCACTTAGGGGGAGGTCCTACTGTTGTGTGTGGTGGTTCACTGTCACTGGGACACTTAATGGAACTGAGCCGCTGTTTTTCCTGCCGTGACAAGTTAAAACATCTGCCGTGCAGCCAGTCTGTTGTCTGAATAATCAACAATGAACATAACTGTTGGCTTCTGAGTAGTTTCACACAGGGATGACGAAGAAATGTGGTAACGACGGACGAAAGACGAGTTAGTAATGCATCTTATCTTTCTTTTTTCTGTCTCAAACTCCCAAATACTTCAGAAGGTAGAAGGAGGATTAAATAGCTTGAGACACTTTCAGCTTAATTTACATTAACATTTGGATTTGGAAACCACTGAGATTGCAGCAGATGGATTCCTTACATTTAGTTTAGGACAGGAGTTGATGTTGTCGTCCAGGGCAGCGGTCTGTGTTGAGGAATGCTGTGTCAACAGTAAGGCTCCATGCCTGGAGGGATGTATGTATGCGTGTGTGTGTGTGTGTGTGTGGGTGGGGGGGTGTGTGTGTGTTGACTCATGAAATTGGCTGAGATCATGTGACCTCACATGACCGTACATCATTCTGTTTGTCGTGGATACGCTATCGGATGTGAGAATTAGAAAGTCCAAACAAGTGGCTTTTCTGGACCCGTGAGCTCCTCTAACACAGCTCACTGTGTATAAACTATAAACCTGCTCAACATTTATGTCTAAAATCTTCAATCTAACTTAAAACACATGGATGGATATTTGTATAGAATATTTTAAAGCTCCCAAAAAGACACCTAAACATGTCTAATATCTTAACGATATGTTGCAACTAACAATTAGATTTCGAAGTCCATTATTCTGCAGATTATTTTCTCAATAAACTAATGAACGTAAATAAAATGTCAGAAATTGTTAGGAAAAGTTTTAAGTTCCTACATCCTCAGGTGACGTTTTCAGAGCATCAGTACTCATATTTTAAGAAGCGGGAACCAGGAAATATGGAATTTTCGCTTTAGATAAATGACAAAACAATTATTCGATTATCAAAATAGTGGCTGATTTATTTTCTGTAATCCTACGTCTGACTGAAGGTGTTCAGTGTGCTGAAGGTATTTCTCCACGGTGAAGAAGTGATGCCTTCTGAGGACTTTTATCCTCTATTGGAATTTGTTCTTTGGCTTTGATGACATTAACCTAACCGACGCTGACTGTAATTGATTATGGGCTGTCAGAAGGGAGCTTGTTATGCAAACACGAGTGGACTGTGTCACATCACATCCCTGGAACAAATCAGACATGTGATAACGCTTTAGTTCTGCCATAAATTCAGCTCCAGTGTGAGTCACTCTGGTTACAACATCAGTCTCAAAAACTGACAGGATTCAATGTGAATAAATGGGTTTTAAATGTTTCAATTAAATTATATGGTTGGTTTTATTCTATGTTTTAGTTATTGTTACCAAAACCAACAATGTGTTTTCTCTTTGCTTCGACTTCTTTCTTTTAGGATCTGTTGACAAGAGGAATTATATGCTCTGCTCTCACTGATCAGGCTTCCTATATATATATATATATATATAATGTATTTATATTTGTTTCTTTCCCAGACCAACAGTAAAGCCTTCACAGCCAAGACGTCCTGCGTGCGTCGGCGCTACAGCGAGTTCGCCTGGCTCAAGAAGAAGCTTCAGAAGAATACCGGTTTGGTGTAAGTTGTTGTTGTTGAGAGTGAGCAGCTGATCCAGTGGTAGTTCATCTCAGGGCGGCAATGTAAGCAGACAGACAGACAGACAGATATTTCTCTCAGGAGTTGGTGGAAACCAAAACGGAGCTAAAATGAGAGAGAATATTGAACGTTCATCAGGTGACCAGAAACACGACTCCAAATGAATAATCATGTGGCAACTGTCTGCCCTAACCCAACTTTATTAGGTGAAATAAAGTAAAATAACTTGATGTAGCCCAGAAAAATCAATGAATACTTATTTAAAGCTGGCTCTTCCTTTCACCTACATGGAAGCAAATAGGCTATAAGCTACAAACCTGGATAATGAAGCCTTTTTGCCTGTTTTCATCCTTCTAGGCCGGTCCCAGACCTTCCAGGAAAGTCCTTCTTCTCTTTCAGCAATGAGGACTTCTTGGAGTCGAGAAGGAAAGGACTTCAGGCCTTCTTGGACAAGTCAGTTCTTGTTCTACTTACAGTTAAGTAATGCAAGCTCCCTTGATACCACATATAATCTTTTGTACCTTTGTCTTGGCAGAGTGGTGCACATGACGGTATGTCTGTCAGACAGCCAGCTCCACCTCTTCCTGCAGACCCAGCTGCCGGTCGGTCACATCGAGGACTGCGTTCAGGGCCACACTCCGTACTCCGTGACGGACGCCATCCTCACCTACGCCTCGTCCAATCTGGGCTTCGCTCAGGCTCAGGAGGACGACTCCATCAAGGAACCAAGTTTGACCGTTTCGTACGAGTCCATGGAGAGGTACGAAACAACCCTTTACCTTACACATTCATTACATTCAATGTTAATATAAAAGAGAAATTTGCTTATTATAGGTCTGAATGATGAACTGAACCATTAATATGCATTCAGATATTTGGAACTGGATGCAAATAGACCCTAAATATAAACATCTTTTTATATGTATTGAATTAAAACAAGAGGCGAGTTGGATAGAAAAAATGTGGAGCTTAGCTTAGCATAACAGTTGGAAACAAGGAGCAACAGCGAGTGTGGCTCTCTAAGGATCACCTGGCAAAGAAATGGTCAGAAACCTGTAAAACCACAACTTCTTGTTTGTGCACTTCCTAGTTTTACAGATCAAACAAACAAGATAAAATGTGTTAATTATCAGGTACTAAAGGTGCTCGTGCAGCAGGTATAGTTTACCGTTGGAGAGAGCCAGTTTAACTTCCTGTTCTGTGGAAATTCCCAGTAAAGTAAATGTTTTCTCTGTCTCGCTCCACAGTCCAGCTCCTCACCAACCCTGCTTACAAACTAAAGAGACCTCCAGCCCTGAGCTCGTGGCATGTAGCGACTCTGACCCTCTAGAAGATTTACAGCCGCTCTGTGAGAAGGACTCGGCTATAAGGCTCGTCCAGAAGAACAACCATCTAGAGGCCGTCGTTGAGGACTGTGGCCCGACAGAGGCAAGCTTTTTTCTAGGTGACAGCCAGGACGACCGTGAGAGCCTCAGCCTCGCAGAACCAACCCAGCAGAGGGGCTGTCGGATACAGACGCCGGTGGAGGTGCACTCGCCCATGGGGACTGGCTTCGAGGAGGTCTGTGGCGTGGACAGAGTGTTTGAGGAGGTGTGTTCGGTCGAAGAGGAGAGCGTTGGGACTTTAGAAGCAGAAGAAAAGACCGTTGAGGAGAAGGCTGGTCAACAGGAAAGTTCTGAAGACGCAAATATAAACAATTCTGAGTCGGAAAAACTGAATTCTGTAGCAATTTTAGATTTTAAAGACAGTGACGCCAGATCTCAAGAGGATGTTCTGGAAGAGGTCTGCTCTGTGAAGCAGGTTTTAGAAAACCACATCATCTCTGAGGTTAATGGTGTTGAGCTCACTGCAGACGTCAGCGGTACGGAGGAGTTTAAGAACTCAAAAGAGCCAGACAACAAAGAAAGTTCAGAATCGGAGAGCAAAGAGGAGACGCCACTCGCGTCAGAAATCCACGAAGAGATCCCCGATGTGCAAAGTGTTGGCGGTGACAGCGTTGAACAAATGGACCAAAAGCGAGTTGAAGAAGAAGACGTGGATTTGGTCGGGACCAAAGACGTGGATTTGGTCGGGACCAAAGACGAGAGTGACGAGAGCGACGAGGACAGCCACTCACTGCCATCTTCCAACGAGAGCATCGTCAAGGTCAGCGACGACGAAAGCGTCTGTGACGAGGCCGAGGACTCGATCCCGGATGCCAACGGCTACGTGAAGACGTCTCCTGAGGTGGTCGCTCTCTGGTCAGACGTAGACGCCTCCAGTATAAACATTCTGGACCTACACATGAACGGATGCCCCGTGGAAAAAGAGGGCATTCCCACCCGGGAGGATGAGGACCTGGAATACACGGCGGAGATCAGTGAATTGAGTAAATCGTTGGACCTTAACTCGGCTGTAACTGCGGGAGATTTGACTGAAAATAGCGACTTCAGCATCTTAGAGACGAGCTGCTCGCCCGGATTAGACGACAGTTAATGCACGGAGCAGGAAACGCTATCCTCGCTGTCTTTGGGCGCCTCAGAGGAAACTCATGAGGTGGAGGTGCATTAGGTAAACAGCTGAATGGAGGCGGAGGGGGGGGTGGGTTAATTTGGGAGTTGCCGCCTGTTAAAGACATATTTCATCACACCGCACGTACACAAGGTGCATCCTGGGAGTTGAGTGGCGTTTCAAAATGTCTGCGCATTATATAGCGTCGTCACAATGCGTACGATCTGGTGTCTGCCAACCATATTATGCTTTAAAAGTACCATGTCACGCATGTTCTAGGTCAAACTGTTTGTTTGATTTTAAATAGTGGATTTTAATTTTAAAATTAATACCTTCATTTACACTCAGGTACACTAAACACAGTCTCTAACTGGCTCCTCTGCTGTGGATGATGTTTGGCTTTTTGGGAACAGCAGAAGGGGCTCACGTTCACAAAAGGAAATATGTATCTTGGGGTTGATATATATATATGAGCTAAAAGGTTTTATTGTCAAGTAAAACGGACAAAACGTACATTTTAATGGGATTGTCGTTCAATAACGAAACATTTGAGAGACATTATGACAGTGAATACACTTGAATTAAAGGTTAGATTCACATTTTCTAGTCTAGATTAACATTAACATTGCATCTAAATATGCTTTCTAAAGTTCAGCTGAAGCTAAAAAAGAGGCCTCAATAGATGAGTTAGACAAATGAGGTTACGATCTGTTTACTACCAGTTTCTACCTGTTTCCTTGCTGAGCTGTGGTGAAGGGACGGCGAGAGAAAGAGGGAATTCAAAACAAAACAAGACTAACTTTGGTAGACACTTAATTTGTCAAAGTGAAATTAACTGTAGTTAAACTTAAAGCACTGTAGGTTTTGGTTCTGTTCGATCACTTAGGAAGGGATCTCTTTATGGACAGCAGGAACAACTATATGGATTGTATAATACGGGCATAACGTTTAAAGACAGACTGGAGAAGATCTATCCTTTTTTAATGTGAACCCCCCCCCCAAAAGAAATCACTGTACTACTATTTATGTCAACAACTGTGTACTACTGGATCATGATAATGTAAGTTTAATGCTGATTATATAACGTTACTTACTAACGTAGTCGCTAAACCAGGTTGGTAACCTGTTGGGTCAACGTATAGTGAGTTTACACACACAATGTTTCATAGTTAACCTGGTATTTATTGTCAGATAGTGGATCAGAGAGGGAAAATAACAAATATTTAGCCCAACAAGAATTTTATTATGATAAGAAATGTGATTATTATTATAATAAATGGCCAGAATACGAGTACAATAGAAGAGTTATTCACTTTGCAGCCTCTCTGTAATGGACACGCACAGGTTCAGTCTTGTGGTCTCTTGTCGTTTCTGTAAACCTGTTCAGATCTCACCTTTTACAAACACTAACACTCGGTCATTTATTTCATGTAAACACAATAACTAACTACAACCTTTTAATTCCTTGTGTAAGCTGGCTGCAGTTTGACCTCCACGTTGTTCTCACACACTACTGCTGCGACTGCTTGTGATTCATTTTGTTTTTTAAAAAGGGACACAGAGTTTTATTGTGCCATTGCACTTAGAAAACGAGCCTCGCTGTTCAACCCGTGTCGCAGACATACCGGGACCTCGTAGGTGGATTGTGGAGTTCTGGGTTTTGCTTTCTTTCTACATTGTAAATTAATAGTTTTTCTCTTTTTGCTTTTTAAAAGTTGTTTTAAATGTTCAGAGGCAAAAGCCCCCCCCCTTTTTTTAAGGAGAGCTTTTATTTTATAACATGGATCTACAAGGGCAATGATAACATCCTGAGTTACTGTGTCCATGTAAATACACAACAAACTGCAATCTAATTTTATTTCAAATAAATAGTTTTTCTTCTTTACTGTGTTACATGTGACTGTTTATTTCAGTGCTTTCATATAATTAATGTTTTTATATATATATATATAAAAAATACATTATTACCAAACACATCTCAGGGGTTTAAAGATGAGACATTGGAACAGCACTGCCACCTAGTGGCTGAAAATGAAACAAGATTAATAAACAAACTGAGTTTTTAACTGAATAATCTGACACAAAGTTTCTATTTTGGTGTATTTCTGTGATAACCTCCTGATATAATGTAGTTTAAAATATTTTACATAACATGATGAAACAAGAAAATAACACACATCTACATACTGTGAATTGATAAATGTATTAGTCCACAATAGTTAATCAATTCGCACAAAGGCTGCAAATAACAATTCCTGTCATTATTGATTATTGTCTTCAGTTATGTTTCTTATAAATTAATTGATTATTTTGTCCAGAAACATTTTTTTAAATGTTAAAATTAAAATTCACCAGAACCCAAAGTGACGTCTTAAGATTACTTTTCTGTCCAAAAACCAAAATATATTAAATTTATATAAATTCAATGATATAAAACAGTGAAAAGCAACAAATCCTCATATTCGAGAAGCTTTTCTTGACTTAAGAAATAACTTTAAATATTAATGGATCATCAATTGTTCAGTTTCTGTCCATTAACTGATTAATCTATTTAATTATTGTAGCTCTGGTTTGCATATCAATATTATCTGCAAGAGATTTACCAAAGGTTTATAGGTTTGTAGTCTGCAGGAATAAGTACCACAGCAGCAGATTTACATGATATAATTTACAGAATAATCAGAATTATCTGACTGTGTCTGTGAAATCCTCGGCCGGAGGTGTCAGCAACAGCAGCTGGAGAAGAAAAAGAAACACACGCACGCATTAATAATTCAGAATTCATTTTAAGCTCTTGCCTATCTACCAGTATTAGGGAATCATTTTCTTAAATAGGACAACTGGCGCTGTAATCATGCTTTTGTTGCACATATTTATTCCCACCCGTTGCCCATTGCACCGCTCAGCTTGCTTTATGCAGTACTTCTTCCAGCCAGCAGATGCCATAAACGGCAGGTCAATGACTGAATGTACCTCAGTGGCAATCTGGATGAGTACCAGGGGGACCGTTTCTGTGTATTAGGCCACAGTAATGGTCCATAATGCTGATGATAAGAGAGTGCCTCGGTACCTGTTGGAGCTCAGAGGATGTAGGCAGGGTGCAGGAAGTCCTTCGGGACGATGCCCACAGTGCCGTTCAGCTCGCCGACCCACCAGCCGTGAATGTTGTACTCCTGGACCCAAAATGAACAAATAAAACAACCGTAAGCCTCCGAAGGGGGGTCCGAGGACAAGTAAAACGAAGCAGGATTAAGCACCAATCTCACATTTTTATTTGATTTGAGCGTGCCGTTTGTCTCGTATTATTAACATTAGGACAACCATTCGGATGATTTGAACTGCAATTATATGTTGGCCCCCTGATCCCTTACGGTGGCGACTATAATAATAAGGTTAACAATGCTCTGGCGCTGTATAAACTCAGCCTCAAGAAAAAGGAAATCCAGGAGAGTCTGGATCCCACTGCAACACAGCCATGCACAAAATAGACATGTAATAGACACTGAGTCTCCAGGGTTTCATCCAAAATGGGAGAAAACAGCAAACAAGACTATTGAGACAGTGAGTGTCTAAAATAAACGACAGTGTTTGTTGTCTGTTTCTCCCAGACTAATTATAACAAGACTTCATTTCTTTACTGTGATTAAACAGAAACAGGAGCAGACTCTTCCATTAATACATAAAATGTAACGCTAACTGTGGGTCACAGATGCTTAAATGTAATCTGGTGAAAAAAATAAAGTTCATAAAATCTTTTCAGTTTCATAAAACCAAAGAGTGAAACACCTTCAGGGGTTTTCTGACAGCTGGTAAAACAAAAAAAAAAAAACAAAAAAAAAACAACTTTAGGAAATGATTTGGGATTCTGGTGAACATTTTATCAACTGAAAGTGTTGCAATCAATTAAATTCATAAATAAAAAATAAAATAAATGCATTTATTAGTTAGTTAATAAAATAAAAGCTCCAGTTGTATCTATCCTACAAGAAGATGTGACTTTAAAAATACACTCTCACCCTTTTAAATAGAAGCTTAATGTAATTATTGTTGGCTGAATCAATAATTTGTTTTTTACAGTTTACAATTTGTATTATAAATTTGGGAAGTGTAAAAATGTATTGAATTTAATTGTAGGTGGAATGTGAGATTTTATGTTGCATTTAAATATAACTTAACAAATCACAATCAAGATAAAATGTATACACTCCTAATGCATAATTACTCAACTTAAATAATCAAGATATTAAGTGGAAGTGAAAATATTCTATAGTTAGGATCAATAAAGAGGTGAAAACATGCAAATACTTAATTCTTTTCATCGCTTTTCCGGATCTAAAAACTCAATTTGATACATTTTAAGCTAAACCTTTCATAAATTCTTGCATTCGTTCAAGCGCTTTAAGCATTTCGGGAACATGAGTCGCATTAACAACCACATGATCATCTGATCACAGCAGTTGGGCTCTAACTAGATCTGTAGTAGATCAATATTTGGCCAGAGACCAGAGGGGCGTTAGAGCCCAGCCGAGGAGGCACCAGCCGGCCGTCGTTTTGCTGCCCTGATGGAACGAAGAGCCCCGGCCACCCATCTCTGCTCTGTTTTCCAGCAGATTGAGAACGGCTGCGTGAGCGGTTTATCTCCACGCTGAGGAGAAGATAAAACTCTACTACACGCAAAGCACATCCTAATGTACGCGTGAGCACATGTACACAGACGCATTTACATTTAAGTTCTAGTTTGTTTTTTTCCCCCATCGATAGCTCACATGTTTCCGATTGGGATCAGACCTTTCTTGTTCTTACAGGTTCTACTTGTAACAACACACACATACTCGTGACGTGACGAATGGCATTTTGTCAAAGGTTCAGCCGATCATCCGGACCTGACACCTCTTTCAAACCCTGGAGGAATGAGGCCTGCAGCTAATGAGCGCTGTTTGGACAGCAAGGATGAATGGATCGCTTAGAAAAGTGATAAACCACAAGGCTTCAAGTGTTCTTACAGCACAAACAGGTACCCCACAATAAGCAGATTGTCCACCCAGGCCTCATCTTTTCTCCCCCCCTCCCTACGAACCACACTGACAGCTCTGACTGGGATGTTCCAGTACGTTCGGCTCTCTGACAGCCCGACTGGCAATTCAGTGTGTATCTGAGCTCGTAACGCCGAGGAAAGTTAAGTCCGAAATTGTCTTTTTATGCTTCCCATAAGACAGTAGTGGGGAAAAGCCCGGTTGCGGAAAGCTGGCTCTGCTTCTCGTTCGTGATAACGTTGAACAGAGGAGGAGGAGAGGGGAGACAGACGGACAGGGGGGGCGGAGGGGGGAGGCATTGGAGAGAGGGAGCGAAACAGTTTTTCTCTCCCTTGGGGGCGTCGCAGCACTATTCCACCAACCGTAGTGACAGAGAGTTTTATTTATCTCCGTGGCCCATCTGTGCAGTCGGTCTCAAATTCTCCCTGAGAAAGGTCTTTTGGATTATCAGCGCCGCCATTTTAATACGACTGCTACATCACAGAGTGGGGTTGCCAATGGCAGTGGAAGTCTGTCAGGCATGCAGAGTCCATCTTCCTCATACTTGAAATGGGTTCATCCAGAGTACACCTGCTGTAATAGGGACATTCCAAGAGGCGTGGAGAGTAAATTATCCAAATGACATAAAACTACGCTAACTCCTCAATGTCCTCTTCCTTCTGTTTGTTTCCCTCTTTTTTTTTTTGTCTTTTAGGTTGTGTGATTTTGCATCTTGAGCTCTCAAATGTTTTGGGGGCAAAGCAGGGGGCCATACATCGGGGCTCATTGTTCAAGTTGTTTTTAGTATTCACCTGAAAAAGGGAAGACGTTCCCTCCGAGATGCTCTGGAGAGACAAAATTCAAAGTCCCCCCCCCCCCACCCCCAGAGTGGAGGAGTTCTGGGAAATGTTCTGTGTTTTATCTCATTAACAAGATGTAGCAGGACACAGTGTGTGTGAGAGGTGACACATATCAGAGCTCCGGTGTTTGCTGCAACCTGGATGCAGATCAGATCCCCTCCAGAGAGAGTGAACGAGAGGAGGGGGGGGTGCCAAACAGCGCCGTGTCGTGGCGGCTGCGGTGTGTTGACTCACTGACCTCCCAGTGACTCCTCCGCCAAGAGAGTGGGGTGGGGGGGGACGAGCGTGGGCGGGGCTGGCACTGAGAGTGGGTTGCCATGACAACACCTGCAGTGTACCGGCGCGATCGTTTATTTACCACTCAGGGGGCTGGCTAATGGTGGCATTCTGATAGGAGCCCATCGCTCACGTTTCCCGACCGGAGGACGGATTGACAGCTACCCGAAGCCTGAAGCGAGGAGAAGGTGAGTCGAGGTTGGTTGGATGCGGCGGGAAGACAACGGGTGAGGCAGGCGGTGTCATGCCGCCATCATTTACCAAAACAAAACGCAGCTTTAATATCCCTCGCTTTTAGAAAACACACATTTTGTTGGGGGGGGAGGATGTAAAATTCTGTAGAGATTCTGACTGCATGTCCTTTTCCTTTCTCTCTCTCTCTCTCTCACACACACACACACACACACACACACACACACACACACACACAATCCCAAATGCATACAAACTAGGGGGAGTGCTAATAAGCCTGACACATGAGGCATCTTTCCTCGGCCACCAGCTGACTGAGGCAGGCCTTGGGCGTGATGGAGCGCAGGAAGTCTCTCATTGCCCTGCCGCTGAACCCGCCGCCTGGGTGTTACAATCTCCCTCCCTCCCTCCTTCCTTCCCCATCTCCAACCCCCTCCCTCCTTTTCCTCTCTTTCCATCTCTCCTGAAGCAGCCTTTTTCCGCTTGCATCCTCTCTTGTTTTTTTGGTTTTTTTTCTATCTGCGTTTCTTTCTCTCCTCTACATAGACTCATCAGATACACTGCAGCTCTCTGCAGTTCTTCCATCACTGGTCACTCTAACAAAGAAACATGGACACCTCTAACAGACAGAAGCACATGATCTGTAACCCACTATCAGGTTAACAAGCTCTCCTCCCTGCTCACACAAGGTACACCTCAATAAACGACCTGATAATACCTCAAACTGGGAGGAAAAAAAGTGCTTTTTTTGGGGAGGTTATAAGGATTCTGTGCCAAAAGAAATCTTGTCGAAATCCATCCAGAAATATGGACGATAATTCTGCACAACCAGAGATCGAAATGGCTACTTAGTGTCCATTTTTTCCAAGTGGGCTTTTAATTAAATCAGTGAATTGGCTTCAAATTGGAAACATGACAGAGCATGAGAACGTTTGAAAATATCTCAGGGACGATGAGATTTAATAAAAAGAAAACCTACTCGCTCCTTTCTAATGCACGCCTGGGATTACAGATAGCTCCTTAACTTAATAGCAATTTAAAGTGGATTTGTGTATGCCACTGAGTGTCTGTAATGATGGCTGTTTACGCCGCCCCTCATTTATAATAATTAAGCAGAATGGATTGGGGGTGGGTTGCTCGGACGCGGTTCTGGGCTATTGGCTTGGGCTGAATAATGACCTACTGTAGTTGACCGGGGGATGACCGCTGCCTCCTGCATGACCCCAAACCCCAGACTCACCCCCTGCTACTTTGGGTGGTAAATAGGATGTCTTGCCTGTCTATAGCGTCTTGGTGTCTATGGCCACAATAGCAGCTAGGGGTCTTTAAATGGGTGTGTGACAGAGAAAAGGAGAAAGGAGAGGGGGGGGACAGGGTTCACACAAAAGAATAAAGGGATCCACTCTCTTTGTCTCTCTTGCTTGACTTTTCCCATCTGATTGTTTGCCCACTTTTCCTTTTCTTCAGCTGCATTCAGTCGGTGTGACCTATAGGCAGCGGGCCAAACCGACTTGTTAAACATAGAAGAAGCCTGTTATGACTCTAAAATAAGACAGGTAGCCTGGACAGAAAACGAGTGGCCATTAAAACACAAAATTTCTAACATCACAACTTGTATTTATACGCGACTGTAACTCACAGCGAGTAAATCTATAAGGTTGTAAATCAGCTTCTGGTGTTTGAATAAGTTGTCATTTAATAAACAAGACTCTGCTGGATGCCGCCACAAGGTGTCAGTGGTGTCCATGTTCTCATTGTCTCTAACAAAACAGCTGCGGCTGAACACTTTGGCCAAATGTGATGTGACGCTACGGTTTGGGAGACGCGCCGGATTGGCTGGCCCCGTCTCCCTGTCTCTGGCTTTTGGTTGGACAGCGGATGGAGGAGGAGAGGTGAGCAGGACGAAGGGGAGAGAAAGAGGAAGAGGTGGCAGCAGCGCTTGCCAGAGTTTTAAGGACCCTGGATGGGTTTGTGCCATAAATCTCTTCCCACTCCATCCCGCCGTTCTCCATGAGTGCCTGTGGGAATACAGGAATGTGACAGCTGACCTGTAGAGCCCATGTCTTTTGAATCTGGATACATAAATTAGAGGGCAAGAATGCAGGACAACCTTATGGTTTAGTGCGGGGACATGGCTGACAAAGTATACAAACATTACACATGTCAGGGAGAAGCGAAACAATCGCTTATAGTGGCTAAAAGATGATAGATTAATCCAACACTTCAACAACACATTGTAAATGATAAGTCTCTCCGTCCCTCTTTGAGGATATGATGCAGTGGAAATGTGTGGGAAACATCTCAACAATTTAAATCGAGTTAGAAAATCTGAGAGTGTGATATTGCAGAAAACAGAGCTCGCCATTATTTGTCATCACACACTAAAATGTCAGTGTAAAGCCGTAATGCGCATTAGAAAAATGCAAGCTCTCAGAAATGAAATGCCAGAGCAAAAACTCACAAGATAGATTTCACGGTGCGTTTCTACCTCATGTATCAGCGCGCTGAGCATCGCCGCCGAAGCTCTGCGGAAAGCAAGTTAGGCATCGCTGAAACCGGCGGCAGAGGCACACTACGAGATTAATTCTCTTGAACTAATGGGTTTCATGAGTTGTGAGGTTCCTAATTTATTTACTTTGTCAGTGATACACAGATACGCACACACACAAGGCGGGGGGGGCAGAGAGAGAGAAAAAAATCACGAATACAGTAAAAATGCCCCCACTTTACAGTAAGTGAGAGATCAATAATGATGGATGAGGGCCTTTTATACAATCGGCATGTTCTCCTCAGTTCACAGCCATATGACACCACGCCTGTGGCTATCCCATTCTGCACTTCAGCAGTCAATCACATCCCAGCTTTAAAAATAACAGTTTGTTAGCACCATTGATTTAGCACTTAGAGCGTGTCCTTATTACCTTGTAATTATGGTCAGTGTTGACATAACAGCACAGACAACCAGGCCTCCCACCCTCTAAGAGAATTTATGGGCCCTGGTTTTATTACGGCCATTTCATGTGTCTGGGTCCCCAGTTAAGCGACAGACTTGAGTTCTAGCCAAGGGCCCGTATTTCACTCATCGAGGTCAGGGTTCTCCGGAATCCCCCCCGTAAAAAACTGAACGCCGACATGGGGCCTGCGTGCACACACAGAAGACGCGGGGAAGCCCTCCCCACGGGCTCATTAAAATAAATAGACGATTACAGGCTATAATCCAAATAATGCTATTCATGAGGGAAATGTGATGCTTTCAGGACGCAAAATGGGACACGGGTGGAGTCGTGTCGTCACACAAAACATTCGGAAGCCGTCCGGAGATATCACCTCTAAATAATTTACAACCAGCCCCCTCGCTTTAAATCCATTAGAGGACAGTTAGAATACTCGCTCGTAGTCTGTCACCATGTTATGACTTTAAGTGTACAGCTCTGACAAAACAAGAGTAATCTGTGTCATTAAGATTGTGAGATACTACAACCAAATATTTGCTTCCAACCTGGACTAAGTTTGCTTTTTAAGGTCTCCAGTGAAGCAGTAATCTGATCCATACAGTGAAAAGTAATACGCCGGGCAGGGCTGAGGCTGTTTGAGGCGGATCTGTAGCACAGAGCCAAGGTCCTCCATTGTTTCCCCCAAGTACGCTGCCTTTGTCATCCGTGTGTGAAAAATGGACATGGCTGTTTTGACATTTTCCCCCTATCAACCAGCACGCACAGACAGAGAAGGCTGGCATCTCATTAATCTGACACTGCCAAGAAAACCTCAATTAAAAGTCCATCTTCTGTGAAGGGCATATTTCACCTGTGTCATATCTGCTCTTATAAACAAAAAGGCTCTATTTTTGTTTGTTTATCTATCTAAAAGAAGTAAAACCTTGACTTCTTTAATTTACAATAAAAGTAAGAACGTTTGTTTCTGTGCTAAAACCGCTCAAAATATTACTAATAATTAACCTTCAAAAGGCTCCAACTGCTGATTAAAGATGCATAAAATCATGAGGTTGAATGTGTAATTTCTCAATCCCAAACCACATAATTACCAACAAAAAAAAAAAAAAAAAAGCTGAATATACTGTAATGTCTTCCTCCCTCGGCTCTTCAGATCATTTAGCCTAAACACAGAACATGATGATTCAATTTCAAACCGACCAATAGCAACAGTCTGGGAACAAGTCCCTGTACGCAGCAGAGTAAAAGTGCCCAAATTACAAGCCATTGATTTCCAGTAGGGTGGCTTTTCACTGGTAGATACTCTGCATGTAACTTACAAGATGGCCATAAAACACGAGGAAATAGATTGAGAGAAAAAGAGCTGAGATGCAGGATGGCTTCACCTGCAGTTTATGTCAAACAGAAAAGGAAGAGCTTCGCATGGCTGCCTACTCAATTAACCCCTGTGATAGAGGCTCCATAATGAACAACAGCACCATTACGCAGCGCCCCGAATGGCACTTCACCCTAGTGGCCTGGGAAAAAAAAGACAATGCCACTGTTGGTGCTTCGCTGCTGCATCAGGATACAAGTGCTCACTAATAGAGGGAATTTAGATGTTGGGGATATCAGCATGTTCAGAAAGTAAATGAGGACAAAGTGATTACTGGAGTTGATGTTGTTTAAGCCTTAAATAATTACACATTCTACACGTCTGCATCACATTTTTACTCATTTTAAACTACTGTAATTGCTCCTGTAATTACGTCAACGAGTCAAGGGGTGCAATCAGGAATGGTTCCCATTAGAGATGAATGGCAGAACAGTAATCTCCCATCTCCTACTGACTGGTGTCCAAAAAAAACACCAGTTTAAATAACCTCTTGGATTATTTTTGCTCACCTTGCTAATGATGTAGATGAGATCTCCTCTCTGGAAGTCAAGCTCGTCCGGCTCGTCGGCCTGGCAGTCCCATAAACCCTGGTAGTAGTTAGCATAATCTGATGACCAAGCTGAGAGGAGATGCAGAGCACAAATTTAAATAAAAAAAGAACAAGACAATGTTCCTTTCCCCACCGTGAAACTATTAAGCTGCAAATTTGTTCTCATTATAAGCAGAAGACCGTAATGAGGTTCTGACCTGATTTGTTGTTCTTCTCACTGTTCTCATCCATCGGATCTGGGAAATCCTCTTCTAAACACACAAAATACGACAAAATTATGTTTGTGACAGAACATTTGTAATGTTTATGAGCAAGAAGCATTTTCTAACTAGATATCAGCACCTAAACATGTAATTTCATTATTTAACAGGACAAAACAGCAAAATAATGATAGGAAAGAAAATCCACTGTGGACTGAACAGCTTTTTTTTTTTTTTTAAGATTTTGTTTTGGCAGCATGAAGCTAAAAAATGACAAATAAATAAAATGGATCGTCAGCCAATCCCTGATGTATTTTCCACATGATAAAAGATGTCTATTTTACTTTAACTAGACAGAACTCCTCAATTTCTTCCAATTAATCTGAGACTTTTAAAGAAAAAGAGGCTGTCTTTAAGGCATGCGGAGGCGGACGTGTCATTGACTGTGGGGCGTGGCACCCGGTGGTCTGAGAGGTGACACAGTGATATGCCTGCCCTCTGTCTCCCACATCCATCCTTAACAGTAGCAGGCTGACAGCAACGCCACAACCCAGCAACACTATCCACCTTCCAGCACAACCTGCGCCTCTGCTTCCAGGAAGACCAGGAAGGACGACACACACACACACACACACACACACACACACACAGAGAGAGAAACGCACACACACACACACAGAAACGCACACACACATACTGTGCATATTTGTGATGTGTACTGTTTGGATGCAGGTTTCTTATGTGTATCTTCTTCGTCTGCTTTTTCTGTCCCAAAAACAAACACCATGACTGACACTTTTTGTTGCATATTTCATAAACAAAACAAAACTACCTTTTAAAAATGCAAAGATTATTATATATCCATTATTTGTGGATTAATTATGGCGTTGTTACCACACCAAAAGAGTCCAAACATTTGTTCAGCACTCTTCAACTGCTGTACAGAAGAGCATCCTTCAGTTGAGAGAGGCCACCGCTATGGGCCAACGGTTTCTATATCAAAGTGATTTAATTTTCCAGTCAATAAAATCAGTCATCAGCACCAGAGCCAATACCGCCATCGCTCTGCAATCTTCCTGCAACCGAGCCATGTTCAGAGTTTTGCTTCGACAAAACCGAAGGAGCTCATCACAGAGAAAATGACGCGTCACTCACACTCGACATTTCTCCGCTAGTTCGGATGCAACACATGCAAGATGTTATCTGATATTTAAGGTTAACAACTTTCAGAAAATAATCAAAACTTGAGCGACATCTCTTGCGAGGTAATCATAAACATTCATGTGAGCAATGAATGAAGTAAAGTCCAACAAAATAAGGTCATTGCAAAGACTACTATCCAAAAATATTTATATTTGTTGAGAAAGAACGACTCTTCAAAATATAAACACACGCAGCTTTCATTGTCTTTTTCGGATCCCGATCAATAAAAATAACCATAAAAATCTAATAGTTTAACAGTATCTAATCACTGTGTAGAAGCTGTAAGTGAGCAAAGAGAGGTGCAGAGTGATTGATAAGTGAAGGGGTGAGAAAGTGAACGAAAGAGCCCGTCATTCGATATGCCATCTGTGGTCAGGGTCTGTACCTCTTCCCAGATGGCTTTGAACGCCGACGTGACAGACTGAAGACTGATTTCCCTCTCACCAGTGATTTTGGCAAAGGTAATGTACTCACTGAGTGAAACAGAATCTTGATGTATCTTATTTAATAGAAAGAGTGATGGACGACGGCCCTGAGAAGATCAGATCACCCCTTTTGTCCTTCCCGGGATCTTGTAGCCACCCTGACACATGGGACTGTCTCTCCCTCAGTAGGGACTCACACGCACTGTTCTGGGGTCTCATTCTCAATCAAACTCTAATTTCTATTAAACATGTGACATTAAGAGCTTCAGAACTATTTTAAGCCCAGAGAGATGCAGTTTTTACTTCCCTTTCAGCTAAATTGCTGTTGCTAGGCAATTTTAGCCCAAAAACTCGGCTTAGTGGATTGAATTGTAGGCGATTTGTTGCCTGGCAACATTAGCTAATTGGACATTCTATGACAGAGCATTCGGAAACCACACAGCTCTCGCTGATTTCAACAACATGACTGTTTTTCAACAGATAGCTCAGTGAGATAAGGAGGGAGAGCAGAAATAAAAGCTGATTTTCTAGTCTAGTGTAAGTAGACTCTTCCCTTCTGGCCCTGTGTGCCTCTCTGCAGCAGCCACCTCAGTCCTGACAAGCTTATTAGTGTTGCTTGATTTAAAATGAGTGATCAGTCTGGGTGTTGTGGTGATAGGGAGGCACCTGGCAACACAAATTTCACAGCCAGGGGAGATCATCACAAATATTTCTTGTTGCGAAAAATCCCTTAGGGCTGGAGTGTGTGTGTGTGTGTGTGTGTGTGTGTGTGTGTGTGTGTGTGTGTGTGTGTGTGTGTGTGTGTGTGTGTGAGAGAGGCAGAGCGACTATTTGTCTGACGGAGTATCATGAGAGTTTGTGTGTGCAGCCTTCCTGTGTATTTATCTGTGTGTGTGTTATGTGTGGGTGGCGCGTCTCTGCATGCGTGGTAACCACATCCTCATACCTGGCAGAACCTCGTAGATATCCTCGTCCTCGCTGTCGACCTCCCCCATCTCACGCCCTCCTCCCTTTCTGTCGCCGTGAGAGGCCTGAGCAACACCGGGCCGAAGCTGGGAAGAGCCGGTCACCCCCTCAATGTCATCATAGGGCTCCTCTTCGTCCTCCTCGTCATCATCGACAGGGATGTCGGTGGAGCTGAGATCTATGAGGGGAAGGAGAGACAACGTGATGGGCGGCGTTAGCGTCAAGATGAAGCACAGCGTGCCACAAAAGACACACACATGCATTAAAAGGGTAAAGTAAGAGAAATGCTTGAGCAGTCCTGAATGCACCACAGGCGAGGACGCGTGCCATATAGTAGCAGAGCACTGGAGGCTTGAATTCTGGCTGCAAATAACAATCACTCTCATCATCTACTAACGTGTTTGTAATTTTTTGGATCAAGCAAATTCATTGCTGAGTCTGAAATAGTGAAAAATGGCCATTAGTATTTCCCAGAGCCCAAACTGACATCTTCAAACTGACTGTTTTGTCTGACTAACATTTAAAAAAAATTACTATGATATACAACAGAGAAAAGCAGCATATCGTCACATTTGAGAAGTCAGAACCAGCAAATGTCCTGTTTGCTTGATAAATTACTTTAATGAACTCGTATCAATTGTTGTCCATCCACTAATCGATTAACCAACTTCCTCTTTTTAGCATTAGTTTCAGCTCTGACCTGGTAGATCACCTGGTAGATCACCTGATAGAGCACCGACCTGTGTACTAAGACTGAGTCGTTACCACAGTGGTCCAGGTTCAATTCCAACCTCTTCACTCTTCATCTCTATCTCTATCAAATAAAGGCAGTAAAAAGCCCCCAAAAAATAATATAAAAATAAAAATAAGATTTTTGGGTTTACCGTCGGCCAATTGTTGCTTTTTAAATTACTCAATAATCTCAGGCCAAAATACATTTTTAATCTCCTTGAATAACATAAACCCAGTAGGGCCTAGGTATGGAACAATATGAAAATTATTATCCTGCCATTAATCAACAAAATATTATATATTAAGAATTAATATATTAAGAAACAAATATTTTGATATTTTATATTTTTGTCTTTCTTCAGTTTGGAATCAGAAGTATTTCCAAACATCCAGTTTAACTTTATTTTAGGGGCAAGACGAGCCTTCAGATTTGGTAACAGGCTCAGGATTTTGGAAAGACTGGAAAGGCTCCCTCTTGTGGCAATTTAAAATAAATTTAGGAGGTCAATATAGGACTGTATGTTAGCGAGTTAGCTTTTTCAAGTCACTCGTGAGGATATTAACAATTATCCCAATAACAGAAATGTTTCTACTGCGACCTGCGATTAAATCGTACATTGTCTCATCCTTAGTCTCGTACACAGGCCCTTAGATCTCCAGGAAGGAGTCAGCTGGCGGAGCCTCGAGGAAGGAGTCAGCTGGCGGAGCCTCGAGTCAGAACCAAATCAGGGTGAAGCTGCTTTCAGCTACGATGCTGCACACAGAAGAAACCAACTTCCTCATGATTTCAAATGCACCCCAACCCAAGCCACCTTTAAATACTTTAAAATCTAAAGTAAAATCTCTGCTGTTCTCCTGCGCCTTTATATCCAACTAACAACTTATTATAGCACTTTAACTGCACTCTAACTATATTTCTGGTCTATTCTTTTTATATTTTATTTATTTTTATGCATGTCATTTCATTTTATTTTCTCTTCCTTTTTTGTTTTTTTGTTTTTCTGAATGCCTCTGTAACACAATTATTGCCTGTGTTTGAAATTTGCTATATAAATAAAGCTGCTTTGTCTTGCGATAAGATGTATACAATATAATCGCATATATGTGATACTTCTCTCTCTCTCTCTCTCTCTCTCTCTCTCTATCTTCCTCTTTACATTTCACATTTACATGTCTATTATTACTATCAAATAAAGGCCAAATGCCAAAAATAATCTTTAAAAAAAAATCTGAATTTTCTATAAAAATGAAATTATTTATTATGAAAAGTCAGGTTTGTTCTCAGGTACATTCAGTGGGTGAAGTTAATAATCATCTACATATTCTGGATCAGCCAGCATTTTGTAGTAAAACTGGGCTCGAAGGAAGTAAGACAAACTGCAGAGTGTCTGTTACTTCCCGCAAATCGGTGGCCCGGCCTGAGCCCATTTTAGAGTAGACCAGGCACGGCTGCTCACTCAGATGAAGGAGCGGTCTCATTGCAGGCGACTGGCCACTGTAACACAGGGTATCAGGTCCTCGGCCGTACACCAGCGGCCAAGCAGAAATCAATGTCACTGGAGGATAACCAGAACATCTACCAATCAATTTCCTGTAAGTTGGAATTCGGTAGGAGGGTTAGGGGAGGAGTGGTTGAGGGGGGGGGGGGGGGGTGGAGGAGAACTAGAGCTACATGATGGTGCTCATGACACGGTCAGTGACATGTCGAATGAGGAGGTTCAGGACTCGTGTGTTTCGGCTGCGCAGTTGGTGATGGATCAGGTGGTTTTCATTTGAGTCAGAGATGATAAAGGGCTCCCTTTCACTTCTGACCTTTCTGCCCCTCGGAAACACGAGCAAACTTTAGTAGAAAATTGAGGAAAAAGGAGGTTGGAAGGTTTATACTGCTTTAACCGTATTTTCCAATTAACCTATGTGGCTTTTAAAAAAGTCAGCTTAAGTCAATTTTATTTATATATCCTAGCAGCAATTTGTCTTTGAGAGGGCTTGTGATGTGACATCCTCTATCCTTAAACCCTTGATTCAAATCAAGAAAGACAAAAAAAAGGGAGAAGCGACAAGGCAGCGAACGCTCTTCCGATAAAACTGCACATGCAGTAGTTGCCGGAATAAACCACAAAGAGATGCTGGCTTACCTTTAAGAACAAAATTGATTTGATCCACCCATTCTCTGGCCTCTTGAGGACTGCTGGCAGTAAACTGGAAGGGAAAGAGCGACAATAATGCTGCAATTATCGTCACATCTAAAAAAAAAAGGTGCATTTATACGGATAAAAAAGTCCTGATTTTTTAATGTTTGAGACATTCACCAACTCTCTTTCTAGCTGTCTAATCAGGAAGAAAGAGTTCCCTTTTGTAATGGCTATGATATTATCAGATCTAAATCTTTCTCTAAAATATTTAATTAAGACATATTAATTCTTAGTGAGTAGGAAACTGGTGTTAATGTACCATACAGACATGAGAATAAAATGTTTTCCAAATGGATTTAGATTAAAGCCCCCGATTGATACTGGATTTTTGAAGCCAATATAAATATTTGAGTAATCTGATGATTATTTTCTCAGTTAACTAAATCACTTGTTCTATAAAATGTCACAATTTCCTCCCAAGTTTACATCCTCAAATGTCTTGTTATAAAAACCAGCAAATATTAACATTTGAAAGCAGTGAATATTTGGGCACTTTTGGTTAAATAATGTAAATTAAACAACAGACAGAATTGTTGCCGAATGCTGAATTATTATTTCAGATAAGCACAAATCATCTGATGAGTATCGACTGGGCTGTAACTTAGACTGTAGATATTTCCTCTTGAGAAGAAGGACGTAGGGAATCACTAGTAAACACAGTTACCAAAATAATATCTATCAAACTATATTAGTTATTTGAATTCCCTGATACGTGTCGTGGTAACACCGACCTGGAAAGACCGCCGTCCGGGGGCGAAGAGCTCAAAACAGGCATTTTTTTTGGAGTCTTTTCTCAGGTTGGGCACCAGCTGCACATTGTAGTCATTGATATAAAAGGAACCCTTCTGCTGTTTATCTGTATGGAGGAGAACACACGGTACGCTGTTATCTGATTCAATTTATGAACCTGTAATATTTCTGTATGCTGGCATTTCAAACAAACCTTTTTCACTCCCAAAGTAGTAGAATATCATATTGTTCAGAACACACCATCTCTTTTGCCACTCGGAGCCGAAGAAGCTGTGATCTAGAGAAATAAAGGAACCCTGAATTAAAATATATCAAATGGAAAATGATTAACATAAACAACATTTGTTCATATGGTTTTTTATATCTTTATATATTATACCTCTCCGTTTCTTCTCCAAGTAGCCTTGCTTCAAGATGTTGTTGAGGCCCTGGGCTGCCACAAGGGGGATGTCATCAAAGACTGTGAACAGAAGCAGTTCATTTGTTTCTCACACTCATCATCATCATCACAATTTCCCAGAGCCCAAGGTGACTCCTTCTAATGTGTTGTTTTGTCCGACCAACAGCCCAAACCCCAAAGATATTCAATTTATAATGATATAAACAAGAGACGAGCAGCAAAATCCTCATATTTGAAAAGCTAGAACCAGTATGAAAGTATGGCGTTTTTCCTGATAAATGAGTTAAAGCAATTAATTTGTTATTGAAATAGGTTCTGTGAATCAATTGACTGATTGTTTCAGCGCTAACGCCTAATAAGCTGCACTTAAAATGGTCTTCATTCCCAAGGCAACACACACACACACACACACACACACAAACACACACTATGAATATAAAGTCTCCAACCCTGTGGATCAAATACATCCCTGCTAGGCTTTAGGAAACTGGGATCAATACATTTACAGTGCTGCTGAGCACTGCAGTCCATTCATCAGCTCACATTGCACTTTTAATGGGAGTAACCTTCCTGTGGAAATTCAAACAACTCTCTTCAATTTGCAAAGTCAAATTTTAAACATGATAGGACAATGGCACGACTTAAGAGGCTTTAGTTAATTAGTGCAGTTGTTATGAAAGCACTGCACAATGCAGTTTACATAGTATTTAGCCTACTGTGCCATTTGTGCTAGAGAGAAGTAGCTGTTTTGTTGCACTGTTCACATAATGACAGATGCTTTTTGGCATATGATGTTAATACTGGAGATTTGTCCAACAATACACATATTGTGTGTAAAAACTGTATTTTCTACACAAAATTAGCTTGTGTGTGTCGGCTTAGATCTGAATATTGGGTTTTTCCAAATTCTGTTAACCCCTCCTGAAACCTCCAAGGTCTATTACATATGTCAGCTGCTGCACTAAGTATGAATAGCAGAAGACTGGCTGACTGTAGCCCCGGGTTGTCCCTCTCACACATGGCTGCTGGTGGCATTAGCATTAGCGAGCATTTGCATTTATTCCTCTTCCGTGGCAGCAAACACGACACATGATCCCACAATACCTGTGCTAAATTCAGAGCTAAACAACATACAGTATTTAGGGCGAACGAACAGTAACGTCAAGGGCAACAAACAGCAGAGCTACAGCTGACACTCCCCCACTTACACCCCGGCAAGCCTCTCAAAGCAGAGCAGCTAACTGAGCTACAACACAGGTAAGTACGTCTCTCAAATGGACATACATTTCCCTCTGCTCTGTTTTTTCATGATGTAGTTACCCTTTAAAAATGACTTTGTTTGGGATTTTCCCCTATATGGGATTACCGTAAACGTAAACCAGTTATATGGTGTGCGACTAAACCACCAGGATGCCTTGAGAGAAGCGGTTCTAAGCAGCTGGTCCATGTTTAAGTTGATTCTGAACTTCTAACAAGAAATTTGAATATTTGACATATTTCCTATCCTTTAGCCATTAGCGGGGAACTTGTAAAGTTGACCCCAGGTTGGCCTAAAGGGTCGACTTCCGCCCTGTGCTTCAATGGGAGTACCTGGCTTTTCCATGTGTCAAAAACAAAGCTCATTAGTCAACAGGCATTAGCCTCGCAGGGAAAAAAAGCAAAGGGAGAGCAGGAACCGCCTTTTTAGTCTGAGACACAGGAACAATTTAAAGGCCATTTACACTAGTCAGTGTGACACCCCATTCAGACCGCTGATGACAAGGGGAATGCCTGGAGTCCATCCCTCTAAGAACGGACCTGTTTAACTGCTGGGAAAAACCAAACATGTCATCCCACAACTGGGTCCTCTGCTTTAAACAAAGAGCATCCCCCAACATTAAACAAACAGGAACCTCTTTCTTGTTCATAAAAAAAACATGAAAAAGCTTCCCAGCTGAATGCCCACTCTCAACTCTCTTACAGTTGTTGTTTCCAGTCTATTCTCAGTGACCTCTGTCTGAATAACTCTGATCTAGAGACCAAAACAAAAAGCTGATACTGGCTTTTTTTCCCACATTCCACAGATTTAAGTTCACAACAATCCAGCCTGTGATCCGATAACCCGGCACCATTTCAGCTCGTGGGCCTGACAGATGAGCGGGTCATTGAAGAGCAGAGCCCCAGACACCTCACCGCGCTAACACGCTCACATATCATCAGCCTGCCTTTGTGGATGGACTGACCGGTGACACTATAAATACAGAGGTGCTAAGGACTGTTTTGTCAAAGAGAACCTGATTCAGTACATCATAACAAACAGCGGTCATTATGCTCCCCCACCTCATCTATCCGCCGGCAGTCCGTCCATTTTTTTCCTGTGCCTGCTTCCCTGTTGCGGCCCACTTCTAATCCCCTCATCTGTCTGCTTCCCTCGCTCTTCATTTATCTCAAAGGTCGAGGCCCGCCTAATAGATGAGGTGGTACAAAATCAACACGGGATCACTCTGATCTGCTTGAGTCAATAAACATTACACATTCATGCGTGTTTAACACTTTAACGCCGGGTGACATGACCTCACTTGACTGTCCACCTTTTGTATGAATCTCAAAACACGGGGTACAACTGAGTGGGTGCAAACACAGACCTTAATGAAAATGGAAACACAAGTACACAATAGTTCTTGACTCTTCCACAGGGTAGCAGCACAACCTAAACGCATCACACAGCTTAATGGTACTTAATCCCCACCCTAAACAAAAGCAGAACCTGATTGGTCCTCAGTTAACAATACCTCCTTTAATGAGAATTACACACTAACACCTCTTTGGGACCCATGCAATTTTAAGTGGGATATTCAGAGGTAATGTTATTTGAAAATGTGTAATTTAGGGGTGTTAAAAAACCCCAACAACCATCATGGTGTTTGAGTTTGGAGCTTCGACTACAGGCACAGAGAGACACATTAATGCATCTAATTAAGGCCTCATCAAAAATCGCAGACAGACGGCACTCTTTCATAAAAATCATAAATTGCGTTATCAATTATTCAGGGCAATGCCATGACTTCATTTTCATCCCTTTTGCGTTTTAATTAGCACCATCCACAGCTTTGGTATTGACATTAATTTGATGGCAATTTATTGATATTCCAGCATAACCTATTTAGCTGAGTGCAATTACCAACAAAGAGAAGCAGATAGATGTGATCTTAGAGTCTCATCACGTGTTTTGTAAATCAAGGTGAGGAGTTGCTACGGGGCCCTCGCTAACTGCTAACGGCTCTCGTGGTCATCAGCTAGAAAAGATACGAGTCAACCCATTTCCAAATGGAAGGAAATAATCAATAGAAATTGACCAGAGATATGTGTTTAATTGATCCCTGACAAAGGAACATTTCCATAAGCAAGCTGACCTGTGTGCTGATAAGTGCTCCGTTCTGTTGCCTTCCTGAACTTGTTTTAAACTGGGGGGGGTACACAACAATGCATCTGAGCTGCCAGCGGTTTGCCACAGCCGCAATCTCTCATTTGGTTATTCACACTCTCTCAGCATGGTGTTATGAGCTCAGCAGTTGATCCCGCAAGAAAAGACTGATTTATGTTAGCATGACCAGAGGGAGTTAATGTATTCTCTCATTAAAATCCACTTTACTTAGGCTGAAAGTCAATCAAAGGCTGGATAGAGAGTGAATCAAAATGAAGGGAAATGGTTGGGTGGGAGGACTAATATGTTACATTAGATCTAACGGTGGTCATAATGCAACAAAGATGTTATGAAAATACAAAAACGCACTGAAGATGTTGATGGTGCTACAGAAGATGGAGAGCGAGCAATCGCTTTAGCATCTTTTTCTGTGAGGAGGCAGAGAGGAGCGACCGCACCGGCTGGGTTCAACCTCAGCAGGGGGAACGTGTACTTCCAGACGCAGGAACCACTCTTGTATCTCCAGCTATGGAGACATTTACGTTAGCCAGTTACATGGAGAAAGACTGTGAGATGATGGGGGAGAAAAGCCCTTTATCAGCATAAAAATCTGTCTTTCTTCTTTTGCTATTCTATGCTGCTGAACTTCTAAAAATCAACCTAAAAATCAAGTGTATTTATACTGTATATTATATGTGTTGTGGAAGATGTCTTACAGTATTTATGATGTTTGACACACAAACAGTGTTTTAAAATAACGTGTAGGATGGGAGAAATGTTTAGAAAGACATGGAAATCAAAGAAGTAACTCTGTACATCAATGTCTATCAAGTGTATTTGAAGTCTGCATGTCTCTGATGTTAAATATCGGTTGTCTTATGTGCCTGCTCTATTTTGTTTTTCTGTAGTGAGTGTGTGTGTTTGCCTCCTCAGTATTTTGGAAGTCTATATTTCTGTAGTTTGTGCTTGTAAGGTTATACTGTGTATCGCTGTGTCTGTTCTGTAACAGCTTTCATTGGGTTTCTTTTCATTTATGTCGTATTTTTCTATATGTGCATTGATGCTTTTCTGTCGGCCGCAATCGTTTATCGTTTAATTCATTGTTCGGTCTATGAAATGTCATGAAATTGTGAAAAATGCCCATCACTAGTTCCTTAAACCCGGGTGGACGTCTTCAAATGGTTTGCTTTAAAAAATATAATTTTACTGACTAAATAAACTAAGAAATCTAGAAAATACTTACATTTGAGAAGCTGGAACTAGTGTATTTTTTTTAATATTTGCACTAAAAAACAACAATTAAAGTGGTTGCTTATTCTTTGTTCTCTATGGATCAATCCATTAACATATCATTTCGGCTCTAGTCTGCTTTTTGTTGTGCTTGTTTGATTGTTTCTTTTAATTCTCTACATCAACCTGCCCAAGGACTGACGACGGAAATAATCCTTTAGGCTAAATCTGGGAACATCACCCTAATGTTATTATTGTTAGTGTGTGCGGTCTCTCATAGCTAAATAAATAAACTAAAGAGGTACTGAGGAAACTACAACATACAGCCGGTTAACACTGGCCACTTGATGGGATTCATACATCTACTGCATGTAGGAGCATGTAAGAGAGGTGACCCCTTTAATAGGACAGGTAGGAATCAAAATCA